TCCCAGGAAGATCCCACATCACTGGCCTGGGAGCTGGGGGAGAGGGAGCCCCATTCTCTTGGCTGTATTCACCTGAAGTGCAGTTTCTATCGCACTGAGCTGGGAGCAGATTCAGCAGATTCTTGCTGTGCTTACCGAGTCATGGTAGATTTCCCTGAACAAACATTCCCTCATCTGCTGCATGCTCTTAGCACAATTTCCAGGGCCTTCAAATAGTTGCTTTTAAAATGATTTTCAACATTTATACTTGTTTCACTGGGGAGTGGGTCCATAGGGCTCCTCACTGACATTCTGTAAATGGAACTCCCAATTTATACTTTTTATATAACTTTGATTTATTGAACCAACAATACTAAAATGTTCCAAATAATAATAAATACTAAAAATGATTTTAAAAAACAGCCCGAGATAGCATTAGATCTCCCTAGCACTGAGATGGAGTAATAACCTTTCTGTGTCCGGAGAAGAGCTCTAAAGGGTGTGATGTTAGAGCTGGGTCCTCTTGGACTGAGTGGGGATAATCACGCAGTAGGCCCTGGATGTGACTGGAGACACGCTGATGGATGCCTCGGCCGTGCCTGTGAGGTGGATGACCCCCAAAGACTGATGCTCACCAAGGCTTTGGTGCCAAATAAGCCCCTAACACTTGGATGCTGCGATCTTAAATTGCTGCCATCTGGCAGAAGAGGAGCCTGGGAGGGAAAAGGATTTGCATAAAAGTGACTTTCTTGCACTATGAAAATCTTAGGCTAGGCTTTAGATCTGCGGTGAAACTGTAGGCAATTCTTTGGACAAGTTTAGCTGAAGGAAGGGAGGTGAGGGAGAGAAAAGGGGTGGAGCAATAGGAGAGGCTTTTTTTTTTTTCCTCCTATGAGAGCTTAGAGCATGCTTAAGTGCTCAGGGGAGATTTGGATCAGTGGGAAAGACTAAGGATACGGGAAAGGAAATAATTGACAGCATGAGATTTCTGAGGATCTTTACTATCGGAAAGACAGAGCTCAGAACCGGTACACGTGGTTTAGTCTCTTACCTTTGGTGGCTAAAATATAAATGTATGTGTATCTGATGGCTATTTGTGTGTGTGTGTGTGTGAAGTAGAAGCCATGGTCTTCCAACAGGGTATACAAGTTTGAGGGAAGCCCTGGCCAGTTTGGCTCAGCAGTTAGAGCATCTGCCCATGGATGGAAGGGTCGTGGGTTCCATTATGGTCAAGGGTATGTACCTTGGTTGCAGGTTCGATCCTCAGACCTCGTGGGGATGGTGCAGGAGACAACCAATCAATGTGTCTCTCTCGCACTGGTGCTTCTCTCTCCCTCCCTCCCTCCCTTCCACTCTCTCTAAAAATCAATGGAAAAATATCCTCGGGTGAGGATTAACAACAACAACAAAATGTGAGGGGAGAAAGTTTGTAGAAATTTACCGAGGGCAGAAACAGTGAACTGACAAGCAAAGAGGTTCAGGTGGCGGAGCAGGTATAGGGCCCTGGCGGGGCCATGGATTCTAGTTGCCGAAGGTACTATTGATCGGACTATAATTTGTCTCCAGCTATGCACAGCTGCCCTGTGGCAGAAATAGAGAAAATGAATGATTGGGATTATCCAGGCCTAGGATTATGCCTACAGGTAACTGTTAAGGTACCTATAAGTAACTGCTAAGAACCACTTCATAAATTTTTTAGACACACATCTTATGTAGTTGCTCTCCAAATTAAACAAATCTTTTTTTTTAATGTTATGCTACCTGTTTCCCCATCCCTTTGATACTTGTTTTTAACTTCTCTGCCTGTTTTCCAGATCTCCCAGTGTCTTTTACAAGTGAGACCGGCAGTACAACGCAGTGGTTCAGACTGGACTTTGGGCACCAATTTGTTAGGTGCAAATCTTACATCTAGCACTTACTTCCTTTGTGAACTTAGGGAAACCACATAGCACCTCTGTGCCTCAGTTTTTTCATCTGTAAAATGAGGGGAGTGATCACAATAGAACCCCCTCAGAGAGTTGCTTTGAGTATTAAATGAGATAATGTATGTACTATGCTGAGTATGACTTGTTGCTGTTACTGTAATTCAAATGAAATACTCAAGCTGGGAGCAGAAGGCGATAAGAAGGATTACAGTCTGGCCTTTTTGTATTATGCCATATTTAACACACCCCAACATTTCCCACTTTCTCTTTCCCCTTTTCCCACAAAGACCCTAAAATCATGTGCTCAGTCAGCATAATTTTTTTTACAACTGGACCAGATTGGTAGTTTCTCTACATGTCTTTTGCTTCCAAATTCATCTCCTTTGATCACTCACCACTTCTAAAATTGCTGTACCTTTTCTTTCCCACAGGTAAACTAAAGAGTCCTGATTAGGGGCAATTTTTTAAAGTACAAGGTCCTTACGCCTTCCTAAGGCAGGTACTGTGATTTCTACCTTTTAGTGGCTTTTGTATCCAGGAAGTTGCCCAATGTAAAGGAGGAAATAAAAAGAGATGATGCTGATGATAGTACCACAACTTCTCATCCTTAGTTGCCCTTACCATTGACCTTTGTGGGCACAGCAGAGGGCAGAGAAGGGGACACGGGGCTCTGAGCCCAGAAAGACTGTGCCTCAAATCCTAGTTCTATCACTGACTCGTTGTATAGCCTCGAATTAAACAAACACAACACAGTGCAACACTCTGGGTTGCTCAGTAACTTATTAACAACTTTCTCTTTTCCCCTCCCATTCTGGCCGACCAAAACGCTTAGCCATTAACATGTGGTCCCCTCCCCAAGCCACCCCTTCCCTTAAACTTCCTACCACTCCCTACCAAGAGTTAGGGTGGGAATTTATTTTCTGTCTTAAAGTCCTTCACGCTGCCAGCTTCTCACTTCTAATCTCTCAGATGCTCCCTTCATTCACCAGGCAGGTTTGTTCCATTTCACGTTTATTTATTAAACATGTTTACAAAATCCCGTCCTTCAGTTCTTCACCCCAGGCAACACCCTAGTTTGCAATAAGCTCACCTCCCCCTCCCAAGTCTCTAACTCTTTTTCTGCCCTTATTCACAGTTGCTAAATTCCTATTCTGTGATACCTTCTGTAACTGGAAGATTTTTATCATGTCTCCCTAATCGTAGACATGACTTCCATTTTATCACAATGCCAAAAAATATACAACTTTTTTCCTTTAATAGGCAAATACTGTAGCTATCTTTTAAATGTTGGTTTGGCTGCATTAACTCTCTACATGTTTTATAACAAGGACTGAAAAGGAGAGATTATCTCATCTACTTTGTACTACATTGAGTGTAGCAAAATAAATGCAGATGATTTATAAACTTCTAATTTTGATGATGCTTTGAGAAGAAGAAAAATGAAAACATCTTTAGCTCTGACACAAATATATAATTCCACTTTTTTGATTACAAAATAATGACAAATACCCACCTATCACACAAAAACTTAAACACAATAAACCTCTTTAAATACTCTATGAAAAAAAGGGGGGGTGGTGAGTATTTCACATTACATTTTTTATGTGGTAGCTGATGTTTCATACCTAGTTTAAAGTACTTAATTCAATTCAGGCTATGAAATATTGAAGACAATAGAGGCAGGATGGAAGAAAGAAAGAAAGGAGAAAACAAAAATATCTCATAAAATTCTGAATAAATAAGTGGCATTTAATGAAATTTTATACATACAAATCCTGAATTGTGCTTTTGAATTTTTTGAAAGCATCTTTGTTTTATACATTTCTAAAGATACATCTGGCTTGAATAAAGTACCTCTCTGACTTGCCTAAGTTATTAAGACCCTATTACATTATATAATAATACCACACCTAGTCTCTTGTTGTAATAAAGACTACATTATTTTAGGAAAGTCATATTTATAAAGCAAGGATCCATTTTTAAAAAGTGTACCCAAACTTCCAAATGTAGGAGAGTATGATCATCTTAGAAAACTATGTTTATTCCAAGGATGGGGCTACTTCTCAAAATATTTTTAGAATTCCTCTTAGGAAACACCTTCAGTTGGATAAAAACCACATAGGAGAGTGAAATCTTGTTACTTTACAGAGCTTTTATTTTAATATTTTTATGGCATTACTCACCTGATCCAATCAACTTGACTTCCAATTACATTTTTTGCTTCATCCAAAATCAATTTACCCCGAAACACAGACTTTTTATTCTGAAAGTTTCTTTTTTAAGTGTGAAAGTGGTATCCCCCCAATGTATTAGAAACAAAAGTAGCAGGTTAGAGTAAGAGTGAACCCTCAAAGCTAGCCAGGGCAGATAATTTTGGAAGTAGGATGAGGAACATTAATTTCTAAGTATAATCTTGGAATGCTTTTTTAAGTATGAAACATTTTTTTAGTTTCATATTTCAGGTGGTTGAATTTTATGGTAATAAACTCCCTTTCAAAATTCTACAATGGTTTTAAATGGGACATAAATTTAAACTTTCCCACAAAGATTTTAGAGGGGTGGGGTGTGAAGGAAGTACACCAAAGTGTGTGAGGTAAGAATTTTCCACTCCCACCCTAAACATCGAAAGCATGTGTCAGAGTAGTGTGTTCTAGAAATCTGAAGTTTAGTTGAATGCTGGTGATTTAGAGGGGTGGTAAGCAATTCTGAGGGTCTATGTTCTGTCCTGAAACTATATGTATTTGAACAAATACTGATTGCATGCAATGATTCTGCTTGTTTCACAGTGTGATTCCTGTAATATGAGCTTTTCAATAATTGTGAAGTTTATTTTAGTCATTTTTGGCATTTACAGTTCGCAATGCTTTTTGTTGTGTGGTTTAAGATTATTTTAATTTTTGCATTTTACATTCCCTTTGGCACTTTTGAAGAAGGTGACATTGTCTTATACGTTGTTTGGGGGAAGTGGCAGCCCTCTCCCTCTGCATCTTTTTAAAATGTTTGCCTTTATGACATACACGATTCTTTCCAGAATCCTGTATCATTAAACGAAGCAGGTAAAAATCCACCTTCACAAACTGTGCATCCCAACCCTTCTCAGAGGCTGGTATCCCCAGCTTCAGATTTAGGCTGTTTGGCCAATGCTGTCACAGGTTCTGGTGGCCCTTCCCGGCAGAACAGTACAACTGGATTTTTGTGAGCCCACAAGGCCACGTCCCCGGCCACCCCGCTGGTCGGATTGGAAGGGGTCATCCTGCTGCAGGCCCCCAGCTGGTTGACATAGCGGTTTCGAAGGCGATTGCGCCTTCTTGCCTGCAGGCCCGGGCCCTGGTTAGGCAGGGAAGCGTCCGTATTCCTAGTCCGATAGCCCTCTTCCCGACTGCGCCCGAGGAGCATGGATATGTTGGGGTTGCGAATGGCATAGATGACGGGGTTGATGGCCCCATTGGCCCAGGTCAGCCAGACAGCCACCACGTTGAGGAGCGAGGGGGCCTGCGTGGCCTGGGCCTGGCGGGCAGCAGCCAGCAGCACCAGGAAGCAGGAGGGGCCCCAGCAGCAGATGACGAAGACGATCATGATGAGCACGGTGGTGGCCGTGCGCACCTCGCTGAAGAAGCGCAGCACGCGCGCGTAGGTGGTCATGGGCCGCACACGCACGTCCGACAGGCGCACCGCCTTGCAGATGTGATAGTGGCAGAAGCACATGAGCAGGAAAGGCAGCAGGTAGCAGGCGACCACCAGCCCCACGCTGTAGGCCGCGCCGAGCTGCGCAGGGTCCGGGGACGCCCGGTACAGGCAGCCATGGAAGCTCTGTGCCGCCGGGGGCTCCCGGGGCGCACGGAGCAGCTCCCAGGGCACGGAGAAGCCCAGGGCCGCCAGCCAGGCGCCCGCCAGCAGCTGCAGCGCGCGGCGGCGACCGATCTTCTCGCGGGGCGGCCGCACGATGGCGCAGTAGCGGTCCAGCGAGATGAGGGCCACGCTGAGTGTGGACACGATGCCGAAGCAGGAGCTGAAGAAGCGGCTGGCGGTGCAGAAGCCGCGCCAGGGTCCCGCGGCGGCGGCGGCGGCGGCGGGCGCTGAGCCCCCGGGTGGGGTGAAGAGATCCAGGAAGGCGGCGGGCAGGCAGAGCAGCGCCGTGAGCAGATCCGACAGGGACAGGGACAGGATGAAGGCGTTGGTGACGGTGCGGAGCTGCCGGTGCTTCACGATCACTCCCATCACAGCGCAGTTGCCCAGGCTAGACAGCAGGAAGATGAGCAGCAGGACCAGCGCCTGGGCCGCCACCGCCGCCCCGTGCGATAGCAGCGGCGCCGCCTCGGGGCGCAGCAGCGGCCTCCCCGCCGCCCCCGCCTCCCAGTGCCAGCCGAGGCCGCCAGCCGAGGCGCCAGTGATGTCGCCTTCGCTCTCGCCGCTCTGGTTCCCCAGCTCCGCGGCCACCACGGTAGCCACGGTGCTGAAGGGCAGCCCGGCCGCTGTGGTCTCCGCGGAGGAGGCCCCGCCAGGCGTGCCTGCCGCGGAGGGGGCGCCGGGCTGCGGGCCTGCCGAGGCCATGCACACTGGCGGGCGGCCCGGCGGCAGCCGCTGCTCCTCCATGGGGCCCCCCGGCGGCTGCGGGTCTGCTCATGCCGCGCTGGGGCAGGCGGCCCTCAGCTGGAGGGTGGCTGGGGCCGGGACGAGAGGCCGCTGCTGGGAGTCGGCTAGGCCGGGAGGGGTGGCTGTCGCCCCGACCCTGCGGAGCCTTTGACGTGGGTTCCAGGCGTTGCCGAGGGAACCGCCTGTTTACGCAGGAGCGCCGGGCGGGACTCCGGCCAAGTACCTTCTGAAAAGCCCGAGCACAGCTCCACCTCTCCTAGAGGTTATTCAGCGCCCAGTCTGGGCTTCAGAGTGCCCAATCGACCCCCGCAGGGACCACTGTCCGGCCAGATAAGGCGGGAGTGGCCCTCATATAAATGACCAAATTCAACAAGGGTTCATTCTCAAGCTCTCTTCTTGGATACAAATGCCCTACAGGAAGGCCTTCGTGGGGGATGCTTCGCCTCCCTGTGGGTGTATTTGGCATATGTAGGAAGGGGAGGAATCAAGAACCTGAAGTGAAAAACTCTCCAAATCTGGCGATCTTAAACTTGAGGGGCAGAATAATTTAATCCAGGTGTTCTCAAACTTGAGCGTGTAACAATCACCTAGACTGCTTACTGAAACATAAGTGACTAAGCTGAACCCCAGAGTTTCAGATTCCGTGGGTCTGGGGTGCTGTCCTAGAATCTGCACTTCCAACTGAAGTTCCCAGGGGTGATGATGTTGCTGGTGTGATGACCACACTTTGAGAACCACTGATGTACTGTGCTTATTGAAATGCAGATTCCCGGGTTGACTCCCAGGATTCCTGAGGACTGGCCCATGACCCAAACCCCACAGGTGATTCTGATACAGGTGCTCTGAGGAGCTAGAATATGGATGTTGAAGGCAGGATGTCACCTTGTTTTAGAGCCTGAACCTCAGGACCCTAACTGGCTCACACATGTTTTGGGGAGAAGGGAGAGCAATTGTTCCATCCCTGTGGCCTGGCCTTTGTCATTTCTCTGGAATGTGATGTGTTTTGATTCTAAGGTGCTGCCAACTAGGCAGTCACCACAGAGGCCGCTCCAGGTATCTGATTGGGAGACACAGGAACAGTAAGGGCCTGCTGACCCAGGGAAGCTGCATCTCAAGTTTCTGGGTATGTCTTCTAATGGGGACTGATCAGACTTCAGGTTTTCTAAGGCTTTGTTTTGTCAAGTGTGGACCCTGGACCAGCAGCATCAGTATGATCTGGGAACTTGTTATAAATGCAGATTCGCAGACTTACCCCAAATCTGAGTCTGAAATTCTAGAGTGCAGCCGAGCCACATGCCCTGCAAGTGATTCTGATACACAGTCAAGTTTGGGAAACACTGCTCTAAAGAATAATTATACATTTGCAGTTCTTAGAATCAATATTAGTATTTTGGATGCTTATTTCAATGAGGGAAAATATCTTACTGTAAATTTTACAGCTTTTACAGTTTATTTAAGTTGGTAAACTAAGACTGGGTTTTCTCAGCCTCAGCATAATTGACATTTTGAGACAAACGATTCTTTGCTGTGAGGGCTACTTTATGCATTACAGATGTTTAGCAGTATCCCTAGCCTCTATCCACGAGATGCCTGTAGTGACAACTAAAAATGTCTCCAGACATTGCCAAATGTCCCTAGGAGTGGAGGGTGGGGGAATCAACCCCAGCTGAGAACCACTGAATTAAGACAAAATATAATAGATGAATTTATCTAGCAAATCTTCTCTGTGCTAAATTTTCAAAAATAACAAATAAGATAAGGATTCCAGCTGAAAGAACTTTACAGCCTTAGGTAAACACAAATATATTACAATTTTGTAAGTGTTGTTTAAAAATATACAAATTAAATTCTATGGAGGTGACTAACTCTTCCTACAGTAGCTGATGAAGACTTCGCACTAGAAATGACATTAGATTCTCAAAAAGAAGAAGAAAGGAGGAGGAGGAAAAAGGAAAGGACATTTGGTGCACGTACAAAGTCTGAAGGTCCTTTACTCTTGGGTAACTGGCAAGAAGCATCTGTATCTTAGGCTACATGGGGGTAGGGAGTGAAGAGGGAAATAAATGATGAAAACGAATTGTGACCCTAATGAAGGTCTTGCATGCCATGTCCCAGAGACTGAACTTCATTGAGGGAAGACAGGGTAATGGCACTAGCCTTTGAAGGGTTTTAGGTAAAGGAGGGTGATGATTAGGTATGGTTCAGAAAGCCAACAGTGACCGCACTCCTGGTTTCCCTCCTTCCTTGTTTGCCTCAGTGTCCTCAGCCAGTTCATCCTCCCCCACCCACCTTTAAATGCCAGAGTCCATCAAGGCCCAGGCCTGGGCAGCTCTGGACTTCCTTCCTCGTCTCACTTACACCCACAGCTTTGAAAACTATACATATACAACTCTAAATATGTCTGTAGCCCCAAACCACGTAGACTGCTACTTGGCAACGACCCTTGATGTTGCACCTCAAACATAACATGACCAAAATAGAATTCATGATCTTTCCTAAAAAGCTTGGTCCTCAATATTCTGTATCTCAAAAAATGACACCACCTTTCCTTTAGTTTACCAGCCAAAAACTTAGGGTTCTTTATAGATAAATTTCTCTTCTTCATCACCAGCTCATGTCCAATCCCCAAGACCAGGGAATCTTACTTCTTAAATATCTTTGTATCTATTCAGTTCCTCCATCGCTCCATCCTCCACCCGAGTCTTAGCTTTCATCCTCTCTTTGGACTACTGCTGTCACCCCCTAACTGGGTCTCTCCACATCCAGCCCCTACACGCTACAGGCAGAATGCTCTTTCTTTTTATCCTTACCCGAGGACATCTTTTGATATTTTGTTCAGATAGAGTGGGAGGGAGAGAGAGAGAAACATCGATGTGAATGGGACACGTCGAGTGGTTGCCACCCACACGACCCAACCAGGGCCGGGGACAAACTGTAACCAAGGTACATGCCCTTAGTGGGAACTGAACCCAGGTCTCTCTGGACCGCAGGCCGACGCTCTAACCGCTGAGCCAAACCGGCCAGGGCCAGAATGCTCTTTTAAACAAGATAAATTTGATCCTGTCACTCACTTATTTAAACACTGTAATGGCTTTCTCCATTTAATTTAAGGACCCCAATCCTTAATATTTACTACAAGTCACTGCATGATTTCACATCTCCTTCCTCATTTTGGGCCACTTTCCTTCTTTTTTGCTCCACTCTAATCACACTGGCCTTTTTTTTGAGTCCCTTAGGGCATTGGTACCTGCTCTCCTTCTGCCAGGGAAGCTCCACCACCACCCCTTCCCCAGTCTCCCAGAATCCCCATCTCTGCATGAGTGTTAGTCTCTCAGGGCAAGCCCTCCTTGGCCTGGAGGACAGACCACTGTCTACATTATGCCTCCCATGGTACACTGCAGGCTCTGTGAATGAAGACTAGGACTTTGTCTGTTTGGCTTTTTATTATATTCCTAGCACTCGGCACTCTGGAAACTACTAGAAACACACACACACACACACACACACACACACACACAAATATATTTTGAGTGACTGTCAGAGGAGAATCTGGCAACTGTGAGACCAGTTAAAAAAAAAGGTATTGCAATGGCCCAGGGAAGAAATTAAAGAGTCTGAACACAGGCATTTGCAGCAAAGACGAGAGATTTTAAGGAGCTAGTGTATGGATTAGGATTTTTGGACATAAGCAATAAAATAGGGCACTGTCTCCCTTAAGCAAGAAATGAATTTACTGGAAAAATAGGGGGAAGTTCAGATTACAAAAGATAGTCTAACAGCCAGCCCCAAGAACAAGAGAAGTCAGGGCAGCGCTGTGGATAGAGACAGCAGAAACTAATTGAGGGGGATCTCATTAGGGCATTGTCAGAATAGGTCTGCTTCAGCCATTTTTTAGACGGTATATCATTTCTCATGACCCAGGTTCTGGAGGAAAGAGCCAAGCAAGGCTACATGAAGGGGATGGGTGGTTTCCTGGAGAAAAAGGAGAGTGTTGATAAAAGGAGAAAGTTAGTGTTAGTGTCATATTTTACAGAGAAGTTATTTCTTTACCGTAGAATGTTATAGAGAATGTGTGGAAAACATTATTTTTTGTGTAATTAATTCAGGTGGGGTAATCCAATCACAGGCCTAATAACTGGGTCTATATAGACTTGCTGGATGGCAAAGCCAGTTAAAATGAATTAATTACTTTAGTGTTTGCTCAGAAAAAAATACTACTTACTTCAAGCAGAGTCTAATGAATATTGAGAGCATCATATGTTGATTAATTTTATGACTGATACTGATCAAATTTATTTTTAATGGGCTCACAGACAATTTATTAGCAAGAATACCAAGAGTTAACATTTCTTTCATGTTTTAAATCTACCTGGCATGTAGTAGTATAGTGATTCACGGATTGATTTCTACTATGTACCTGTATTTCAATAATGCAATACACAACCCCTTTCACAAGAGCCTTAAAGATATATCAACAGTCTGACTATAGGCTGGACTTCTCACACCAGTTTATGAGACTTCAGTTACCTGGGATAGGGGCCGGGTTCTGCAGCACAGAGAACACCTGGCAGCAGCTGTAACACGTACCCAAAGAAGCTGACCCACGCCACCCTTCTCGCACTATGCATGTTAAGTGTTGAGTACCTTATAATAACCCACTTCCCTTACATCCTGCTGAGAGACAGGGCATTATTTCACTCAGAAACTGGAAGACCAGACTAATGAACTGGTACGAGTCATTGTTGTGAGGGCTACAGTTCAAGCTATTAAGCAAAGAGCATTTAGACCAAAGTAGTTACCACAGAGAAATATTTTAAAACAAGAACTAAGGTTTTCATTTTATCTGATATGTTAATAACTAGAAAAATATTTTGAATTTTCAGCATTGTGTATGCTAGACGTGATATATATATATATGCAAATATGAAGTATAATGACTTTATATTTAGCCACAGTGTACTATTTTAGAAAGAATGGAAGTTGGCTTACGTGTACAATTTGGATATAGGTTTCCACATAATTCAGATTAAAAATTACTGCCTTCGCTGGTTTGGTTCAGCGGTTAGAACCTTGGCCCGTAGACCAATGAGTTGCAGGTTTGATCCGGTCAAGGGCATGTTTCTTGGTTGTGGTTCATCCCTGGCCCTGGTTGGGGTCATGTGGGAGGCAACCAGTCATGTGTCCTTCATTGATGTTTCGCTCTCTCCCTCTCTCCCTCCCACTCTATTGGAAAATAAATTGAAAAATATCCTTGGGAGAGGATTTTAAAAATTACTTATAGATAACAGTTGCTTTAAAAAGAAAGTCCTTAAAGTCACAGAAGTCACTTGAGAAGAAATCCATCCCTCAGTGGGTCGCTGTCTTCTACTATAAAATTTGCTGTACCCGTGTAATGGGCTTGTCCAGAAACTTCCACTATGACGGCATTAAAATCACCACATTTTTCTTTCTGAAAAAAGAAGATAAAAGGAGTACAATATCAAAATACTGCATTCACACTGTATCTGGCTTTATCAGATTGTTGATGTTTATCATTTTATTATTATTTTTTTTTACTTTTTTTTTATCCTCACTAGAGGACATTTTTGCATTTATCTTCAGGCAGAGTGGGAGGAATAGAGGGAGGAAGAGAGAGAGAAACATCAATGTGAGAGAGACACATCGAGTGGTTGCCACCCACACGACCCCAACTGGGGCCGGGGACAAACTGCAACCGAGGTACATGCCCTTAGCGGGAACCGAACCCGGGACTCTCTAGTCCGCAGGCTGATACTCTAACCGCTGAGCCAAACCAGCCAGGGCTGATGTTTATCATTTTAAAGAAAACCCAAGAGTTGATCCAGTAGGCAATGAAAGGAGAGAGACCTGGTCAGGTTTTGTTTTAAACAAGTTAAGCTTCAGAGTGGGAGACAAACTGGAGAGGAGAGACGCTAGACACCCAGAACCCTGTTAAGAGACAAACTTAATTCATTGATTGAATCTAGTGTCAGTAGAGCAATTTTGAGTGAGGATAGAAAAGAGCAAAATACAGAGATATTTTGTAGGTAGACCTGGGGATTGGGGACCGATGTATGTGGAGAGTGAGGTACAGGAGTAAATTAAATAGGACCACAGCTTTTAGCTTGAAAGTGGAGCTGGTGTACCATTAACCAAGATGGGGAACAAGGCAGGAGAGGCACAGGGAGGGAGGGAGGGAAGGAGGGGAGGAAGGAGGGGAGGAAGGAGGGAAGGAAGGAAGGAAGGACTTTTTAACAAGCTGAGTTTGTGATACCTCCGGGACAATCATTTCAAGAGGAGTTTACTGGACAGCTGGGATACAAAGTCAGCCTCAGGGAGAAGCCTAGGGTACACGTGGTAGGGGGAAGGTCTGGAAGTCATCACCAGTGGGGGCTGAGAGCTGAAGCTTCCGAAGTGGGTGAAATTGCCCAGTGGTATAAAATTGAGGGTGAGATGTAAAAGAAGCTAAAGATAGGATGATGGGGACCGCTAAATGGAAGGACAGGGGAAGACATGGACAAGATACTATCAGAGAGCCTGGAAGAGCCCAGACAGAGAGGGAAGGACAGGGTGCAAGTGAAGATGTCTGGCAAGTATGATTAATAGCTATTCAGTAAGTAACTTCAATCTTCACTACAGAGTATCTTTTTTCCCCTAATTTTTAAAAACAAGAATCACTGAAGCTTATCATAAATGTCAATTATTAGGTTGGTAGGGTACAGTAACTTTATTATCTTTTTTATTAAGCTGCTATAATATAAAGCCTCAACTGAAAACTTGCTTTGTCTGATAGCAATATAATGTAATGCTTAACAGTGTGGGGTCTACTCAGAGAGACCCACATTCATAGTCTGGATCCATTATGTTTGATCTTCAGCAAATTACCTAGACTCTTAAACTCTCCAATTTCCCATCTTAGAAAAGAATGATAATGGTATTGAACTCCTAGGATTCTTGTGAGAATTAAATGAGATGGTATGAATAAAGTGTAAAGTGCTTAGATTGGAAATTCACACGTAGTGTAACGCACAGTAAATGTTGTAGATTATTATTTTCTCTTCAATTGCAGACTTGAAAACAATGTATTCCAAATTTCTGCATACAACATAAATGGTTTGGTAGCTCATAAGATCATGTATAGGAATGCCTAACTTAAAGAAGATTCAGTGTTTAGAAAAACCATACTTTAAAAACAGCTATACTGTCCTGGTTGGTTGGAGCATTGTCCTGTGCACAAAAAGGTTGTGGGTTTGATTCCCAGTCAGGGCACATACCTAGGTTGCTGGTTCAATTCCCTGGTTGGGGTCATTCAGGAGGCAACCAATCAATTTTCTCTCTCACATCAATGAATCTCTCTCTCTGTTTTCCTCTCTCTTTAAAATCAATAAATATATCCTTGGGTGAGGATTTTAAAAATAGCTATATTAGGGTATAAAAGTCTTTATTAGGATAGATTGCTATGTTAAAGGACTCTATGAGTAGATTCATTTACTAGATGTAAATAAGTCATCCTGTAGATTTTATTTATTAATATGAGTGAAGTTATTAATTTGCTCTATTCGCATGTTTAATATTTGGTTCCATTACAAAAATTCTACTGTCCACACTTTTCAGAACTTTCATATCCTACTATAAAAATAAACACTCCTGCCCTGGCCGGTTTGGCTCAGCGGTTAGAGCGTCGGCCTGCGGTCCGGAGAGACCCGGGTTCGGTTCCCACTAAGGGCACGTACTTCGGTTGCAGTTTGTCCCCGGCCCTGGTTGGTCGTGCGGGTGGCAGCCACTCAATGTGTCCCTTCACGTCGATGTTTCTCTCTCTCTCTCTCCCTTCCTCTCTCTCCCTTCCTCTCTATCTGTACAAAAAATGGAAAAATATCCTCGGGTGAGGATAAAAATAAAATAAAATAAAATAAAATAAAATAAAATAAAATAAACACTTCTATAGAATAAAAACAAACAAAAAATCTAAACCCTAATTTAATGGTTCTTAAACATTTTGGTCCCAGGACCCCTTTATATCTTAAGGTTTGAGGACCTCAAAAGAGTTTTTGTTCATATTGGTTATATATCTATTAATATTTGTTATCTTGGTAAAGATATTTATTCATTAATTTATTAAAAAATAAACTCATTATATGTTAACATAAACAACAGATTTTTGTGAAAATGACGTTTTCCAAAAAAAACCCAAAAATGTTAATGAGAAAAATGACATCGTTTTCCATTTTTGCAAACACTGAACGTCTGGCTCAGCAGAAGACAGCTAGATTCTCATCTCTGCCTCTGCGTTCAGTCGTCGGGCGATCGCATCTCCCAGCCCCTGGAGTGCTGCACGCTCGTGAGAGAATGAAAATGAAAAGCAAACAATGTTTTAGTATTAGTGTGAGTGTCACTGTGACTCTGTGAACCCCTGGAAAGAGCCTTGGGAACCCCCTGGGGTTTTCAAACAACACTTGGCGAACCAGTATCCCAGCTGAACAATTTTTACATTGTTTTAAAATTCTCTTCTGAGAGCTGAGTGAAGAAACTCATCTCACACCCAACTCACGCCTCTTCAGTATCAAAAGTAACACATTTTCAAAAGCAGCTAAGGCGTCGCTCACCCTCACAGCCTTCCCTGTGAATTCGGAGCCGGACGCTCTGCTTCGAAAGGCTCTGGTCTGGTTCAGTTCTAGAAGCCCTTTGTGACATTGTAAGGCGATTCGAGCTGTCACCCCTGAGCCCGTAGGACTTCTGTCAACCTGTTTCAGAATAAACGACGGTAAGATGTTCACAGTGCTCCAGTTCCACACTGCATGGCTTTTGTGCCTAAAAATGACAGTTTCAATACCTGTTCATCTGCAAACACACATATGTTGGTGGTTGGCTCCTCACTGTAAGTGTCTTTTCCATCCGTTAATATCGTTCCATACAGAAAAGCAAGGTCTTCACTATCAGGATGAGTAATTTTAAACTGCAAATAACCAAAAATTATCAACCACATATAAAATAAAATTTTGATTCAAATTTATATTCTACATAACATATATGGGGCACTCTTAGACATAACTTTTCCATCTTTATCATTTTTAAAATACCTTTGGGTCAAGGCAAAAATGCTAGAATGACATCTTTGTAGACGAGTAAACATAGTTTTATTGGAAGTTGTGATTCTTAGACTTTGAGTCCTTCCTAAGGAAGGTGCCCTGCACAGAGCCTTTACTAAAGGAGCAGTCTGCTTTTACACGCACACCTAAACACACACACTCTTTGAGGCATTGAGCCCAGGATGCTCAGCCCTCAGGCTGGCCATGCTGCTCAAACAGGAAGAGCGAAGGCCACCACACCCTCATGCCCAGGAGTTTGGAAAAATCAGCAATGAGTATCTAGGGCGGAGGTTTACACCATTGATAGAGACAAAGACTGTGAGAGGCCACGAGCAAGCAAATGTTACAGGGATGCAGACACCATTAGGCAAGAGAAACAACTGGATGGGGGGAAAGGACTTATTGTAAAGAATCTTGGTCAGCTGGTATCATGAAAGCAGCCGATACACACAGAGAGAACCGGGCACTGTCAGGGTAGCTAGGTCACGTCAGTGGTAAAGCACGGTCAGGCCCAAATGAGAAATGCGTCCCGTTCTCGGTGGTCTGGTTGCTTAATTTTTCCTGGATTTTAGTAACTTCTGAGAGTTTGACCGAGATGACTGTAATTGTACTTCCTCATGTATCCTTACAGATGGTATGTTCTACCACCAGTCTGTCATTTAAATCAGTTGAATAGATTTATATTCTTAAATTCCAGAGTCCATTGACAACCAAGTTAAAGAGAACTGCATATTGGAGCTTTTTTCTCCATTCTCTCTCTCTTTTTTTATCCTCACCCGAGGACATTTTTGCATTTATCTTCAGATACAGTGGGAGGGAGAGGGGGGGGGGAAGAGAAAGAGAGAGAAACATCGATGTGAGATAGACACATCAAGTGGTTGCCATCCACATGACCCCAACCAGGACCAGGAACAAACTGAACCGAGGTACGTGCCCTTAGCAGGAACCAAACCTGGGACTCTCTGGTCTGAGAGCCGACGCTCTAACCACGGAGCAAAACCGGCCAGGGCTGTTCTCCATTCTCTTAAAGCTCCTGGGCCCTATGTCTCCTGTAGCACCATCCAAGATCACACTGCACAAGCGTGCTCCCCACCTAGACTGAGCTCCTGGAAGGTAGGCTTTGTTCTTCCTTTGTGTCTCCAGCATCTAGCATAATGTCTGACATACAGTAAGTTCTTAGTAAATCATCCTGATGCAACAAAGTTGTGGGTTTGATCCCTGTCAAGGTGTATATGGGAATCAACCAAAGAATACACAAATAAGTGGGACAACAAATCAATGTTTTTCTCTCTCTCTAAAAATCAATCAAGAAGTAAAAATTTAAAAAAGAATGAATAAACATGAATTTATATTATACTAACTTCAGCCCTTCCCCCAATGGCCTTTCCTCAAATCTGCATCAGTATATGAATGGTCAGCTATTCACAAAGAAGTGCTACTGTCTGATCCATCCCTAATAAAACTTCTTCTCGCCCAGCAGGTGTGGCTCAGTGGATTGAGCATCCTCCCATGGACTGGAGGTCTGGATTCAATACCCTGTCAGGGTACATGCCCTGGTTGTGGGCTCAATCCCCAGTAGGGGGCATGCAGGAGGCAGCCAATCAATGGATCTCTCACATCGATGTTTCTCTTTCTCTTTCCTTTCGTCTCTCTCTAAAAAATCAATAAAAACATATAAAAATATATTTAAGAAAAAACTTTTTCTCATGTTTTTTGCACAATCCCTCCTCCCTCAAGTCCACCCTTTGCAACCTTGGTGAGAACTTCAAGCTTCAATGAGAAATTCAAAATTATTTCTATTAATAAAACTATGCCCTTTCCTTTGATTTCATTGAAAACAAGGTGAAATTCTTTTATGCCAAACTGTTAACTCAAACTATTAGTTGTCTGCTTAATGGAACAGAGAACTGATGTAAATTTAGAGCTTCAGAGTAACAATGATAAAATAATTCTACATATTGGTATTGGCAGTCCTGGAAAAATAATCATTTAAAATAGGAATATGGTATACATCTTCATTTTGTTATTTGTTATAAGTTATATTAAAGCTTTGCATATGTTAACTTAGCCCATAAACAATTATTGATACAAGTATATTAGACACTATTTTTCACAAGTTATTTTTTACATAGAATAATTAAATCTTCATATGCTAAAGCAGTCCAGTACTGTATATGGGTTATTTATAGGTTCAATTTCAAGGTAAAATGGCAGACTGGTGCTAGAAATGAAAGAATATTCTAGATTTGTGTATTATTTAAACTAATTTTATCCGAATAATCTTCTCAAGCCCAAACTAGAGTTACTTGAGTATTTAACTAATTTCTTAGCAATATAGAAAAAATGCACTTATTAGGAAATAATGTTCTCTGTGAAATAAGAGAAAGTTTGATTAGATTTAATAAAATCTCTTTTGTAAGTTATATTTTATATTCATTACTTTCAAATTTTGTAGAATGACCACATATAGCAAAGGATATGCATTTCAAATTAGTGGAATATTATGATATATTTACTATACATTTAAATAACCACAAATTATATTAGTAGATATGTATTCTTAAAATTAATAATAGTCATTATCGAACATTTATTATGGGCTTGGCACTATTCTAATTCCTTTACACATATTGACTTATTCTTACAACCCCCATGAAGCAGGTATTTCATAATTTACATTTTACAGATTGGGAAACTGAGGCACCTGGAAGCTACGTAACTTGCTCAAGGTTCCAAAAGTTATAAGTGGCAAAGCTAGAACTCATAGGTAGTCTTGCTCTAGAGCCTGAGATTCAAATTAGTAGCACAAACCCTATTCTTTGTGCTACTAATAATTTACATGCAATATATAGGTATTTCGTTTTCTCTAGAGACTTGTAATTGATATCCCCTCCACGCCACAGAGAAAGGCGACGTTTTGAGGACAGCGACGGTACTAACCTGTGCTTTCACTGCCTCCGTCACTGTACTTGCTGCATCCACGAGGTCCCTTATCTTTGCAGAACCAACATCGAGTCCTAACTTCTCAGCACTAACAAATGCATAAAATGCACCACCGTAGGCAATGTCCACCACCACCTTTCCGTGACCAGGAACATCCACCAGGAGATCTAAAAGAGATGTGTTTGAAAATCAGTTTGTTTTAGTGTTTTAGCTATAAAAATCATAGAATTTATTATGTATGTATGTTGCCGGGGGGCTTCTTCCTATCATTAAGAGAAATGAAATAAAAATCTATCTTCAAAATGAGTAAGCATCAAATAAATAATACCAGACCTTTAGCTAAGTTCATCTTTCTACTTTTAACCTGATGTTTACATAAGTTATACACTTGAATGCCATGTGTTCCTTAAATTATACACACATATTTGTTAACTATTCTGAGTATCTTTTTTCTAGGAAACATCACAGAAGCAGAGAGGAAACCCTGGGACATCAACATGTGAAAACTATGAAGGAAAATGTAGGTACCCTCTTATACTTCTAGGAACAGTTTTGATTAGTGAGGCTTTGGAGTCCTAGTCACAAATTGGTTTTCTTCAGCTCTAATGTAAAAAAAAAAAAGAGAGATTTTTCCTATATGTTATATAGAAACACTTATTCACTTATACATTTCATCTCATGAAAGTAACCTGCAGGCAAATAATCAGAATAAAGCCATTGTGGAACCACTCAACTTTGGTATTATTTTGCATCAGAGTTTTTATGAGTATTTTAAGTGCCTAACATACCCAGAGTTCCACCTGAAAGTCAGTTGTTTGGAATCCTGAATTTGTATTTCCAAAGGAATGGGGCTGGATGATATTTTGGGATATTAAAACTGTTTCCCCCCTTCTCAAAGTATCCTCTCTTCCTCCTTCCCAGTTCAAGCGGGCTTGGTGACCACAACCTCTGTCGGGAGGCACATGGCAGGGGAGAAAGCAGGTTTTATGGAAAACTAAGATCTCAGGGGAAAGAGATCTGTTGGCAAAGAGGTGTTCTGAAAGGAGGAATATTTCTCCTGGTCAATAGAGAAGTTTCCTTCCCCTGGACCGAGAAGAGGCTGAAGGTCCTGAGTGCAGAGCTCCTGTGTTAACAGCACCAAGGAGAGCTGCAGTGTGTGACAGAGGCAGCAAGGAGGAGGCAGGGGCAGGGGCCACATGGAAGGGGGCAGATGATGCGTCCCTGGTAACCTGTGCAAACTGAGGACCGAAAGGCCCTCCTCTCCAAGGCCTTGGCTATTTTCAGAAAACTTTGCTCACACAGTATCAGGAAAAGAAGCAGCAAGTGGAGGGATGAAGCTAAGTCCATCAACAAGGCAGAGTGGAGTCTCAAATTCAGAATTGAAGTTGTAAAAAATAAAGTATTTCTTGTATTCCTGAATTTGCACAGTCATACAAAGGTACCAGTATGTGATCAGTTACAGACTAGCCCACAGGGCCCTTTTACATGTGATGTGTCAAAACACAGCAAGTTTATCATCAAAAGAGTAAAACATGCCTGTGGAACTTAACAGCAAAAGTGAATGAAAAAGGTCTTTATCTGGATGCTGGTGCAACATGGGAAGCACATTTAATGGAAGGAGAATGAGGAATTAGATGGAAATGAGGGACTACTAGAAAGCTAGGCTAAGTGTAACTTTGGTGTTCTCATGTGTAAAATGGAATTGCTATTCCCCCCCAGAAGGGTTTCTTTTGAGAATTCCATGTGATAATGTGTGGGGAGTGCTTGGTACAGATTAGGAATGCAACAAATGTTAATATTAAAGCCAGAAATTTACTTTCCAACAGGAACAGGACTCTTAAGAGGACCAGATGGTTACATTTGTGAATCAGCTTATTCTCCAAATTTCATTTTAGTTACTCATTCAACAAATGTGGACTACCCACTGTTCTAGCTCTTGAATACAGTGAACAAAACTCAGGAGTTTTTATTTTAGCAGATGGAGTGGAGGTGGACTCAGCAATTCTCTGAGGTGGGGAGGGACAGAGCAGTGACCTTGATTGAACACTGTCAGTCTGCCTTTTTTGTATTTTTCTAAGTGAAGAATTCACTACTTCATTTTCTTAATGACTCAAAGTGAGCATGAATACCCTCTGATTGTTGTACAGCCATGCAGTGATGTTCTCAGGAATGACTGAGCTTACAGGGTTGGTTGCCCCTGCCGTCACCAGCCTCAACTGAATTAGTGGTGATCCTGATGCCTCTTGTCATTTTCCACAAAATCTAGTGTTTCCCATATACTGCTGGGTGGCCTAGGTGCCAAGTTAGTTAAACTTTTGATGTTTTTGAGATGTAATCCTAAACACAAATTCCTGTCTCTCTCAAGTGCCCTCCCAATACAGATGTGACACTGTTCTCTCCGAAAGGGGAACGTGCCTGGGCTATGACGGCATCATTCAGAATCAGGCTAATCTGGAATCCAAATCCTAGAGAAGTATTAAGATCACACTAACAGAATGATTTGCATGGCTTGAAGACTGAAAAAAAAATAAAAGAGGTGACCCTATTCCTGGCTGGAAAAAATTAGCTCCCAGATCACTTCCAGTTATGACTACTAAAGCATCCTCACTGACAGAATTCAGCCCTTTGAAGGGATTTCCCTCTATGTAAGGATGATAGTTATTTGACAGCTATTTTGCATGACATAGAGGCTCTGCACTAGGGGAACCCATCAAAACCTTCTGAAGGCTCAGCACACCTAGAGAACTAACTAGTAACGTTATATATCCTGTAGTCTGTCTCTGGGAAAATATATATATATATAGTAGTGCCTTACACACTCTTTTAATCCTTACACACTCTTTTAACCCTTACACACTCTTTTACCACCCCCCCCCCTCCACACACACACACTTAACAAGATATCACATGAAGAAGCATACACACAGGGCGGTTAATTTGACTAAGGTTGCAGTTTTACAGGGTTGTCAGGCTTTGAACTCAGGCAAAGTCTGTTCCTGTTTTTAAAGAATAACAGCAGCGACATCAGTACTTTCACGATTTATAAACTGCTTAGTTCATTCTCATTTAATTCTCCCACCCCTCCCCCATCCCCCAAGAAGTGGGGAAGCACTTTTTACAGATGAGTTTCAGTAACTTGCGTTTAGTAACCTGTCGGGGGTATAGTGTGTCTAGCGAAGGTATTCTGAGCCAGCCTGGAACCCGCGTACATTGGCTGTTCTTTGCTCTTTCTTGACCCTAGCGGACCTTGCTTTCCCCAGTTGTGAAATCTCTAGGAATGCCTGCCAGTGGGGAGGAGGCGCTGAGAGAAACGAGGAATTCGTACTTCTCCAGGCTCTCTCTCGACCACAGGGCAATAGACCTGGGGGATAACTGAGCTGCATGCACCGCACAAATCTGGAAGGCTATTGAAGCGGACACACATCTGCAGTGGTTTAGAATTACCTTTTTATTAACTGCACAGGCTGTGGGGTGGGTTAGTTGCGCTGCGGGGGTTCCAGCCCAGAGAGCGAGTGTAGTTAGTTGCGCCTCGGGTTGCAGCCCGGGGGCGGGAGGGTCCCGCGGTTACCTGTGGCCAGCACGAAGGCCGGGACGCTGTGGAAGCGCACCGGGCCGCGGCTCAGGCCGCCCTCGCACTCCACGAAGGCGGCCACCAGCCCGCACGGGCAGTGGATGTTGACGCGGGCCTCGCGGGCACCGGCCGGGGGCGCCGGCACCAGCCCGAAGTCGAGCGCGAAGCGGCCCAGCGCCAGCACGGCGTGACCGCACATGGAGCTGTAGCCTTCGTTGTGCAGGAACAAGACGCCCAGGTGCGCGTCCGGCAGCTCGCTCTGCACGAGCACGGCCCCGTACATGTCCCGGTGTCCCCGGGGTTCGTACATGAGTCGTCGCCGCACGTGATCAAGGTGCTGGCGCATGTAGCGCCGCTTCTCCAGCAGCGTGGGGCCCGCCACCTCCGGACACCCCGCCAGCACGATGCGCAGGGGCTCGCCGCCCGTGTGCATGTCCACCACCGACAGCGCCGGCGTCCCCGGGTCGTGCGGGGGCAGCCAGGGCATCGCCCGCAGGCTCGCGGTTGTCTGCATCCGGGAACACAACCACCGCGGGCGGTGCGCGCTTCAAACCCAGGACCCACCCGCGGACTCGGAGCCAGAGGGCTAGGACCCCTGGCCTCCTCAGGGGGCGGGGCCTCGGAGCGCAGACAAGGAAGCGCGTGGCGGGGGCGGGGCTTCGGAGCGGTCGCCTGGGTTACCAGGAGGCGGATCTGCCGAGGCGTCTGTGGCCCGGATGTCCGGGCGCAGCGGGCCGGTTCGGCTGACCTGGAGCTTCTCCAGGGAAACTTACAAGTAGCCAATGGGTGAGTGGTCGCTGGGGTCCCGGCAAGCGTTTGGAATAGTCTCTGCTTCTTCCCCAGGCTGCAGGTTCCGGGCTCGGCTCCGGTGGGCGGTCTCCGGGTGGCGTCTCATCCTCGCTCCTTGCTACCCCACTCGTGCTGGGACTGGGCCCCAGACTCTTCCCGGGACCAGGGGTGGGGGCTCGGCTCCCGACAGGCCGCAGAGGCCGGGCCAGGAGCCAGGCCAGGCCTTTGCTGTTCCGTTCCAGACGTCACTTCAGTCTCTGTGTCAGTCCCTTTGTTTGACACTCACCAGGGTGTCTTCAAATTTGGAGCGCGGGCGTTGTGAGTGCAGAAAAACAGCCAAGGGAGCAGAAGCGAATTGCCGCATAACTAGTGTCTCCTGCTTCAGAGTCACGCAGCTTATAGGGCCCTCGTTCACTGTAGGGGGGAAGGGAACGGACACTGGGAGCCAGGGTTTTGTGTGGCTGGTGATAAATAGTTGTTGGTTTTCAGGACTTGGGGTTTGAGAAACTTTACGTAGATTCAAATGTATTTATTAAGCATCAACAAGATGCTATTCCTGTGGAGAAAAGACTTCCAATTCTTTAACTTCGGCCTTCTCAAAAAATCTGAAACAGTGTATTTCCCTCTATTAGTTTAGAACGTTGTGATTATGGTTGGTTTAAAAATAAGTGCCAGATAAAGAAGTCCGTGGATTTCAAAAAATTCAAAAATTTGATAAAAGTGAAAATATTACACTTGAGGCATGTTAGTTGGTGCTATTTCTGTTTTTCTTCTCAGCAGCAAAAGGAGAAAGAAATCAAAGTCTACTCGAATTTGAAAGGAGAAAGGGCATTGTGGACCAGGCAGTCTCTAGATTGTGAACTCATGAAGAATTTGATAAATAATTGTTCATAATCATTATAAAACACATAATTTTCAAGTTAATTTACATTTGACCATAATTGTTTTGGAATTATTCCATACTAGGCTGAAGGTTCCTTGAAGGCAGGAACTCTGTCATTTTCCTCTGGGGATCTTAAGTTGTCCCTAATGAATGGAATCTGACACTTACTGCATGCTTATTGAGTGAATGAATCTAGGAATGAAGGGAAATATGTCACTGATGGGAAAATCCTCCTTCAATAACCTCTACCTGTTGATGAGGTCAAAGAAAACCTGCAGGCCCTGAGGTTTTTGTTTTGTTTTGTTTTTTGTAAAGAAGAGCTGCTTTTAATTTTCTCCAAGGCTTGAGATCAGGGTATTGATTCTAAGGCAGTGGTTCCCAAATATTGGTCAGAGGCCCAGTGACAGCCTTGTTGAATTTTCACCTGTGCTCAACAAAAATGACAAAAATTAGGACAACGTAAATAAGCTTTTTAAAAGGTGAATTTATTTACTCTAAAGGCCAGCCCTTTATCCTGCAATTATGTCCTTTCTGATTTTCTGGTATTAAAATGTGTTCTATTATGAAGGAAGGTGGTAATAGATTGTGTGTGTGTGTGTGTGTGTGTGTGTGTGCGCGCGCGCGCGCGCGCGCACGCTTGTGTACATGCACTTAATGTCCTGACTGAGCAAAATAAAAAGTAGTGATCCTCTACTAATCCTCTTATTGAAAAACAATGTAAGTTCAGATGTCTAGACCATCTAATCAAGGGGAGTGGCTGGCTGGGGCCATTGGAGACAGGCCAGGTTAGGCTTTGATTTCTAGGGATATATCCTGGTCTGCAGGTAGAGGACTGAGGTTGTTAATCATAAGAAACAGTATTAACAACAGGGTTCCAGTATAACTTTCTGCAGTGTCACGGTGTAAAGGAGAAATTTAACTTTTAAAATAAATGCATCGAGACTTTTGTCACAATACATATGATTTTACTTGAAGCTGTGTTGAGACATTTTTGCCAAGTGCTTCAACTATTATTGCATTATTTTTTTATAATCACAAAAGATATTACTGTACTGGCATTTGTTTTTAAAAAGCTGTCGATATTCAACCAGCATGCCTTGGACTTTACTGTGGGAAGACCCTGTTATTTAAAAATGGCTCAACTGAACTATATGGAGAATGTGGGGTAAGTCTTAATGTTTACATGTTATTTGTAAAATCTTTTTGCTTCTGAAATATTTTCACATATAGAATATCTTTTTTCTTCAGTCTATCATTCATTTGTAAAAGAATATGTAAGCATTAATAAAATCTTTGTGTCGTATTGATTTTCTATAATACATCTTTCTTGACAGTCACAGTTATTGTGTTTTTTAAAAATTCTATAATTTTATAGTAATTTTAATTACTTTTTATTAATGATCTAGTACAGTGACTTAGACATCCTAGTAAATTAATAATACAATTCCAGAACACTTGTTTGCAGTTATTTTTATCCAATGTTAATAACTCAGTTTTTTATTTAATATCAGACAAGTATTTTAGTAACTTAGTAAAAGGACTCCTGTGAGAGCATTATACAGATATAGGCAAATACAGTGTAGATTTCTTTTTATCTTATGTTTTTTTATTTCTAAAAGATGCATATGTAAAAAGATGTTTAAACAGAAATAGGATATAGAAAGATTTGGGGGGTGTTAATGTTCTAAAGTAATATCTGTACATAAAGTATTGTTTTTCTATATTGTAGGTGTGCCCAAGAGGACAGAGAACAAATGCACAGAAGTATTGTCAGCCTTGCACAGAGTCTCCAGAATTGTATGATTGGCTCTATCTTGGATTCATGGCTATGCTTCCTCTTGTTTTACATTGGTTCTTCATTGAATGGTATTCGGGAAAAAAGAGGTTAGTTAGCACTTTCTATGAATGTGTCTGGATGGACTGATGTTGGAATAATGATCAGTTAGAAGACCTTGTCAACTAATTATACTAATGTTGTTTTAAAAGTGGTAAACCTATTTTTGCTTTATATTCTGATTACTTTTGATTGTGACAAGAAAACTTAATGATAGGGCATGCCTCACTAATTATTAAGGGAAGTATCCTTTGTCTGTTTTATTTTATTTTATTTTTTTACCCTCACCCGAGGATATTTTTTCATTAATTTTTAGATACAGTGGGAGGGAGGGAGGGAGGGAGAGAGAAAAATCGATGTGAGAGACACACATTGATTGGTTGCCTCTCTCACGACCCCACCTGGAGCTGGGGATCAAACCTGCAACTGAAGTACATGCCCTTGACTGGGAATCAAACCCACGACTCTGATCTGTGGGCCAGTGCTCTAACTGCTGAACCGGCCAGGGCTGTCTGTTTTACTTTATTTTATTTTTTAAAATATGGTTTTATTGATTTTTTAGAGAATGAGGAAGGGAGAGAGAGAGATAGAAACATCAATGTGAGAGAGAAACATTGACCAGCTGCCTCCTGCACGCCCCCTACTAGGGATCAAGCCCCAAGCCCAGCCATGTGCCCTGACTAGGAATTGAACCAGGACCTCTCAGTCCATGGGACGATGCTCAATCCTCTGAGCCACACCAGCAAGGCTGACTGTTTTATTTTAAATGAGCTTGAGGAATTTTTTTTAAAGAATTAAAAAAAATTTAAGTTATAATTTTTTTTTACAAAGAATTGCTTGTGTACAAACTTTATTGTTCTAGAACAAATACTTTGTGATTTAATTTACCACCAGTAATCTAGTGTAATGTAGTTCAAATGATATAGCTGCAAGTTAGTTGTAAAAACTCATACTAACACATTAACTCCATAAACATTTATTAAGCACTGCATTTTATGTTCAGAAGATCAGAGGAGGAGATACACAAATAACCGACATGATTTATAGCCATAATTTTGTAGAGAAGACAAATGTAGGTACAACTAAATGTAATATAAATCAGTCTTAAAAGTGTATAAACTAAAAGGGTAGAAAAGCACTGTAAACAAAATGCTCTGGAATCATAAAAAAGGAAGAGCGAAATTGTGCCTGGTAGGATCTGAAAGACTTGGGAAGAAAAGACCATTTTCGGCAGAGGAAGCAGCTTGAGCAGTGGCGTGGAGGTAGGAACCGTGTGCTGTGCGGGTGGGGATGGCAGCAGTCCCCGGAGGTCAGATGTGGGGCACATATGAAAGAAAGGTGATAAAAAGGAGAGTGGGAAAGTAAACTGAGGCCAGAATGTGAAGGTTCTTGATGAGGATGTGAACTTGATTCTACTGGGAATGAGGAACCAAATTCCCCCTTAGTATATTTTAGCCATACCAGCTCTTAGTTCCTCTGACTTCTCGGGATCTTTCCTGCTTTCTCCCTTTCCAAACTCTTTTCTTTGTCCCTCTGACTGTCCCTGAAGTACTTGTCCCTCTGACTGTAACTTTTACCTAGCTGTCTTTTTTTTCCCTTCAGATTTCAGTTTAAATTACATCTACTCAGCCCTGGCCGGTTTCTCAGTGGTTAGCATTGGCCCTTGGACCAAAGGGTCACAGGTTTGATTCCCAGTCAAGGTCACATACTTGGGTTGTAGGTTCGATCCCTGGCCCTGGTGGGTGTCTTGCAGGAGGTAGCCAATCCATGTGTCTCTCACATCGATTTTTCTTTCTCCCTCCCTTCCACTCCATCTAAAAATCAATGGCAAAATATCCTCAGGTGAGGATTAACAACGACGACAAAATTACACCTGTTCCGAGAAGCCTTCCCCGACCCAGTCTAAATAGGTCTGTCCCCTTATTTTTCTTTCTTAATAGCACTCTTCATTTTGTTGTTTTTGTTTTGTATTTAGTACTCAACACAATTTATAGTTATGTTTGTTTCCTCAATTAGCGTTCCACCCACCCCTGACGGTAAGCTCCAAGAGGGTGGTGGCCATCTCGGTTGTTCTCCATGGACTGTCCAGAGACCAGCACAGCAGCTGGCCCCTGAGAGATGCTCACTTAGTATTTGCTGACTGAATGATTAATTGGTGAAGGTTTTGGTTTAGAGAAGTAACATCCTTGGATGTGTATTTTAGGGAGATAACTTCCGTTGAGGGTAGATTAGAGGAGAGAGATGTTAAGAGAGATGTTAGAAGCTGTCTTCCAAGAAACAGTGATGGCCAGGCTCAAGTGGTGGGAGTGAAATTGGAAAGGTTGGTCAGATGAAAATAGAGCCAGCACTTTTCTGGATCCTACTTAATAAATCCATGGTGATTATTTACGTTGGAAAAGCATTTGTTATTTTTCAGAAGAATCTATAAATGTGTGTGTGTGTATGTATATGTATATAGATTTTTTTTTATCTTCACCTGAGGACTTTGCATCTATCTTCAGATAGAGCGGGAGAAAGAGGGGGGAAGAGAGAGAGAGAAACATTGACGTGGGAGAGACACATCGAATGGTTGCCACCCACATGACCCCAACTGGGGCTGCAACCAAGGTACGTGCCCTTAGTGGGAACCCAACCCAGGACTGTTTGGTCCACAGGCCAACACTCTAACCGCTGAGCAAAACCTGCCAAGGCTATTTTTAAAATTTGTTTTCCTTTATTAATTTTAGAGAGAGAGGAAGGGAGAGGGAGAGAGAGATAAAAACATTGATGAGAGAGAACATCGATTGGCCGCCTCCTGCATGCCCCCCCCCCCCCACTGGGGATCAGGCCCACAACCTGGGCACGTGTCCTGACCAGGAATCGGATTGGTGACCTCTTGGTGCAGGGTTGATGCTCAACCACTGAGCCACACTGGCTGGACTATAAATACATTTTTTTTTAAAGCAGCTCTCATCCTTTAAGAAATTTTTGTTATAGAATAATGAGAGATGACAGTGAGAAAGATGTGATACGCTTAAAGCTAAAATAGAATAAATGTTCAGTTAATTGTTGGAGCTTCTCAGCTCAAAGTGAAGAAGAGGTGGGGGTAATGGATATACCTCCCAAATACATTAGAACTAAAACATCAAGTATGTTTTGAGGCAGAATCTTGGAGCAGAGGATAGAGCTTTGTTTTGAGGGTAGAACAGAGGAGTGATCAGTGCTTAGGCAGGAAAGGAGGTGGATTTAAAAAGGAGTTGGCATAACTTTGCTTTGCCTAGTAAGTTGGTAGCAAGGAACACAAGGGCCATCTCTTTCATTTTCCTGAGATGTTGCACTTTTAATGAAGGAAGCAGGGACCTAGCTGTCTGAGGCTAACCACTGTTTCTTAACCATTTTTTTTTATCATCACCTCTTTAAAAAACCTGAGATACCTTTCATTCCTTATTCCACCTACCCCCATGAAATTTATATTTATCTGTTTATGTAGTGTATATACATATGTACTTTATTATAAAAATTTAAAGAGTGTCTTACCCACGAAGCCCAGTTCGTGTCCCCGGGGAGTGATGTCACCGTTTGAGAATGAATGGCTAGCTGATCACTAAAACGCTTCTTTCTGGCACCCTGCTTCTTCCAAAGTTTAGTGTTAATTTTGTTTTTCTTTAAGGCCAGAGCGGAGATAGGCAGAAACTGCACATTTTTTATTTAATAAAATTAAATAAATAAAATAAAATTTTATTTTATTTATTTTAGGAAGCTGTGCTTATGTCATTTATATTTATATAATTTATAACTTTTCTTTAAAAAATTTTTTTAAATTAAATTTATTGGGGTGACACTGGTTAATAGGATCATATAGGTTTCAGGTGTGGATTTCTATGTTACATGCTCTGTATTGCACTGTGTGCCTACCACCTAAAGTCAGATTATCTTCCATCAGCATATATTAGTTCCCTTCCATCCCCCCACCCCTTGTAACTTTTCAAATGTACTCATTCAGCAATCTTTAGGGGTATATGTTACAGGTTGCAGGGTTCAGAGATACTAAAATGTGGATGCTCGCAGTCCAGCGGATGAGATGACAATATGTTATTATACATGAGGTCCTATGACAGAAGCATGTGCAGAGATTTAAGGTTGCGTGAAGAAGAAAAAAGTTAATTTTGCCTTCTCAAATAGGACGGTGTCATAGAAGAACTAACTTTAAGCTGGACTTTGAAAAGTGATAGTTTGTGAGAAACAAGGACTAAATGAAGCCAGGACATAAAGAGACTGGGGCCAGGGGTCTTGGGGAATGTTCCTAAGCCTTGGGGATGACCCAGAGCTGATGTTGAAGGGTGCACGGTTTGCCACATGGGGAAATTTTTTTGGGGGGGACTGAAGCATGCCCCGGTGTGTGAGGGGTGAGGAAACAGAGTAGGTTAGCAGGGCCAGGAGGTGTTGAAGATAATGTTGGTGAGGAGTGTTTTTCCTGAGAGGCGGATGGGACTCAGTGATATAGTTTAATAAGGGGAGTTTGAGAATCAGATTTTATTTTGTAAAGTTCACATAGTTGACTACAGATGGATTGAAAGGGAGCATGATAAGAAGAGACCAGTAAGAAGGTTAAAACAATGGCAAGAAATGATGAGGTTAAAATAATGTATCCAGTGTTTTCATCTGTGTAAAATGGTGCTGGAGTTCAGCTTCCAACATTATGGGCTAATCACGAGCTCCAAGGGACCTTCCTGCATGAAATTACTGGTCTATGGAAGACATACTATTTAAGACATTGCTGGTCTCCTTGGAGTTAGGGGAGAGCTCCAAGAACAAACCCAACCCAAGATGGAGCCAGAGTGACAGCAGGCAGTAGGGATGGGAGGGTTGCCTGAGGCTGACTGCTGACAGCAACAGTGCTGTTCGGATTCTGAACCTTCTACAGCCATTGCTAAGTCTAGACTCCCAAGGGGCTGACGCCCAAGGCAGTCCTCTGCATGGCTGCTGGCCAGAGCAGTAAGTCCTCTTTGCTAGAAAGCTTCCCCTTCCCCAGACTCTTGTTCGTTAAGATCTACTAATGACCTCATAATCTGTGATTCGTAAATAAAATAAGCACTGTGACTGAAAGTTGGTAGTCATAACAAATAAGATATGCTCCCAGAGCTACAGGTAATGGACTTTTAGCTACAGAATTAATGTTTAAAGAAATAAAGGGTGTAGTCACCAGGATCTCCAGTCAGTAAGAGATTATTAGGAATGAACAAACAGATTTGGTTTTTAAAAAGCACTTCTAGAAATGAAAATTTATACTTGCCCCCCAAAATGGTAGGTCAGTTAGCAGATTAAACAGTTGAAGATAGAATTGGTGAATTAGAAAAAATACATGCACAGAAATAACAGAATGCAGCATTGAGAGAAACGGAGATGGAAAATATGAAATATGTTGACATGTGGAACATAGAATGAGAAGCTATAGTGTATATCTCTACTACTTTATAGGAATCCACTCAGGTTCAATTAAACATTAGATTTAAGACACTATCACAGGTCACTCCGACTGCCAGTGTACTCAGAAGGAACACAGCTTGCGGCAGGGCAGCATAAGACATTCCTTGTCAGCAATAGCTTTTAAGCAGTTGCTGTCAGCGGCGAGGAAGTGAGACCCACATTGAGTGGGTGTGGGAGTCATCCAGGCGTAAGGTCTTATGCTGCAAAGGAGCTGGAGTGGTTTTGAAGCATAGGTACAATTGGAATAAAAACTTTAGAAAAAGTGATAGGCCTGGCTGGTGTGGCTCAGTTGTTTGGGCGTTGTCCTGTGCACTGAAAGGTCGTGGGTTTGATTCCAGGTCAGAGGTTGGGATTGTGGGCCCAATCCCTGCTAGGGAGCATCATACAGGAGGCAGCCAATTGATGTTTTGCTCTCACATCAGTGTCTCTCCATCTCTCTTCCTCTCTCTCTAAAAATCAATACAAATATTTTTAAAAGAAAAAGTGATAAAAGACAATTTAATATCATGGTTACGTCTAGGGTAGAGACAGGAGAGTGGAATGGGGAGGAACAGAGGTAGATATAAGTTGTTATAGTCTGAGTTATTGGGTTAGATGATGAGCTTACAGTATTTATTATATTTTATAACTAATATATATTACATATAATTTTGTGTACTTTTTATAGTTAAGATAAATTTAAAATGCATAAATAAGAAATTTTCAGTAGCAATTGGCGAGACACTAAAGATAAAGGTAGATCTTATTTCTGCTCTTCTGCACATTTAGATGATGCTGGTGTTATCCTTTTTAGTAAACAAGGTAAAATTCTTCTCAAGTAGTTTTCATATATGTTGGGCTTTTCTTACCTATTTAGAAGATATTTAGTTTCAGGAGTTAACATTTCTTTTTAGGAATCATATCCAGGTTTTATGAAAAGCCATTGAGCACTCAACATTTCCGGTGATTTGCTTCTTCTGTTTTACCAGTTCCAGTGCACTATTCCAGCACATCACCGCGCTGTTTGAGTGCAGTATGGCAGCTATCGTCACCTTACTTGTGAGTGATCCAGTCGGTGTTCTTTACATCCGTTCGTGTCGAGTACTGATGCTTTCTGATTGGTACACAATGCTCTACAACCCAAGTCCCGATTACGTTACCACAGTGCACTGTACTCATGAAGCTGTCTACCCCCTGTAAGTATTTGTTTAGACGTTGTTTTGAAAAATGAAAAGGATAGATTTCATTCATTTCAACAGGTTGAGCATGGTAAAATGGCATCAAGGCCCTGGAGGAAATGTACAGAGATGATTTTCTCTTGAAGGGTATATTGTTTGATAGGAGAAAACAGAAATACATCTTAGTATAATGGAAGTGAAAGTATTTTTGTATTGGTATTGAAGTATGTATAAACACTTATAAAATAAGCCAGATATGTTAAAAAGGGATTTATATGGAAAACCTTTTTGATATGCAACAGAGAAGCAGTATCTGAGATACAGGAATGAATATAGGCTTAGGAGCTAAAAACAGGCTTGGGTTTGAGTCCCGCGTCTGCCAGTTGTTGTATTAACCTGAGCATGTTGAGTCTCCTGTAAACCAGTTTTCCCACTGGTAAAATGGGAATGGCGATCCCTCATGCAGTGATTGTGAGGATTAAATATATCCATACAGATCAGATACAGAGCAGTGTCTCACGTATGGGAAGCACTTAATAGTAGCTGAAATTATTATTAGAATGTTTGGGTTAATGTTCTTTCTTTTTTTTGTTTTTCCAAAAAATGTAATTTCTATCAGAATGTTTTGTTTTAAAAATATCAAATTCATAACATTCTGTATAATATCCCAGACTGCTTTATTTTCAGAATTTCTGTAAATTGTTAGTGTTTCTTTGATATTTTTCCTGGTAAAGGTATAGTAGAAGGCATTTATGTTTTCATAGTTATAGCAAGTTTTCATTACATAATATATTCAATGAAATAGTCCTTTTGGAGAAAGTTCTTAATAGTACTGTGTCAGAATACACATGCACATATGTAAAAAGATAATTTTCAAAAAATAAGATCCAGATATAAAGATACGAAAATGTTTTCCACCTGCCCAGCTTTAAGCTCTGCAAATTTATTCCATGTATATATTCTCTGTGTCTGTTTCTCTCTCTTTCTCTACATATGTATATGGCTAAAATTTATAAATGAAGGGCTGCTACAGTCCTCTGTTGATTTCATAGAGCTGTATCCTCAGCTTCAGTTAATGAAGTAATGACTACCTAGTATTCCAGCATGAATTAGCCAATTTTCTGTTGTTGAATATGTATTTTCTTCCTGAGTTTTCTGTATTATGTGATCCAATAAAAACCTTGTTCGTAAAGTATTTTTTTTTATCCCTGATTATTTCCCTTTGATAAATTTCTGCAAGTAAAATTGCTGGATCAAAGAAAAAAATCATTTTTAGGATTGTGGATACACATTTCCAAACTGCCCCCCGGGAAGAGACCAGCATGCACTTTTCAGTAATGTATGAGAGTTCTTTCAGCTGACCTTCCACCGACGTGAATATTCCATGCGTAGACTCGATGTGCTTTTTAAACCTTTTATAGGATCTTTGAGTTAAAAATGATCAATGATAAAATATTTTAAAACATATTTTTTGAGAATATGCTTCCTTATTTATTTTACAGCTACACCATTGTATTTATCTATTATGCGTTCTGCTTGGTATTAATGATGCTGCTCCGACCTCTTCTGGTTAAGAAGATTGCCTGTGGACTAGGGAAGTCGGATCGATTTAAAAGTATTTATGCTGCACTTTACTTCTTCCCGATTTTAACCGTGCTACAGGCAGTTGGCGGAGGCCTTTTATGTAAGTTTGATGGTAAATAGTTAATATATTTATTATTATATGTGATGAACAATATCTTCACTGAGTATGATTTTGGAGCTTTTTCTTTAAAATAGATTTTTTTTAATTCTTGAAAATAAACCATAGTATGTATTTTTGCTAAAACCTATAATAAGCCTTATTTTTTAAAATCAGGGATTTTTGGAATGGAATAGAAATTCTCAAGAAATCAGTGTCAGCTAATCTGTTTAGAGGATACTTTGTATTTGAAGCTTATAACCTGTTTAGGAAGATTCTTAAAATCTAAGTGTAAATTAGAAAACAAAAACTGGTTTTTGCATATAATATAAGGAAACCACTCTTGGTAACACTATTTATCATTGTTAGGTCTTAGATTTCTAAGTTTCTTTATGGAAACCTTTTAGATACAGTAAAAGAATCTTTAGTATATTCTTTATTTTAATATAGTCATTCATTCATTTATTCAGCAACCATTTAGACTAAATTGTTATGCCAAAGAAGAATAAGAAAAAGTTGGTGTTAAAGGGCTCACGTACCACTAGGAAAGCTGTGTGTAGCTGAGAGGACGTAGTGTGAGGATGTGGAGCGAACCAGGGTGCAGAGGGAGGCCTGCTGGCCGAAAGGAACTAGGCCACACGGGCATCCTTATGCGCATCACCGTGGCTTGGTAATTAATTTGGTTCAAGATTAGGGTGGTGCTTTGAGGATAAGGCCAAGAGAAACTGGAGACTAGTCAAGGGTCTGTGTTTCCTCATATTCTGCTTTACAGATGTATCGTTTCAGTTGGCCTGCATGGTATTTGAAAATCTAAAGTCTCATCTAGCTCCTGTGTTCCCTATTTTCTTAGATTTGGCACACTTCGGCTATTCACCTGCCTGGCTGGTCCCAGGCATTTGAAGTTGCTATTCTTACTCTAGGCTAGGAAAGAGAGACCTAAAACCATAAAAAGATTTTAGGCAGAAGAGAGACATGACTAGGTTTGCATTTCAGAAAGATAATTTGGTGGCAGTGTGGAAGCTGGATGGACAGGGAAAGAATCAGGGGGATCTGTTAAGAGTATTGAATTAAGCCAAGTCTGACTGACCTAAAGCAGAAAGACACTAGCAATGAAAAGCCATTTGAAGACAGAGTTAACTACACTCGGCAACTAATTCAATATAGGGGTTGAGGGAATGGGAGGAGAATACGAGAAAACAGCTTTCTGACCTAGTAACTGGTAAATAGATGAATATTAGAAGAAGCAAATAGATTGGTGAGAAGTGAGTTCAGTTTTGGCAAGAAGTGAATTCAGTTTTAGCTCTTTAGGAATATGGAAAAGTACAGATTACTTACACTAGTCTGGTGCTTGGGAGAGCTGTCTGGGCTGAAAGATTTAAGGATCATCAGCTTCCAGATTTCTGTGTCCTGGACTTCAGGGGGTGCTGTTGTGTAGAACCTCTGGTTAGGAGGTGGAGGGAAGGAGAAAGCTGTGAAAAGCAGGGAGGTTTGGAAGGTTAACCCAAGGAGGCTGCCAGACACCATTGCTTCCCTCATGATAGCTGCCTACCTTGAAAAATGCCTCTTCCCACACTGAATATCTTGAGACAGTTTTGTTAACAAGCCGCTACTCAAAACACACACATAGGAAGGATCAAGGAGTTATTCGTTCACACTAAGCATAAACCTCTGCAGTCTGCTGAAGTTAGTCACAGAGGGTACCATACCAATCCATAATTTTATGATGTTAAAAAAGAGAAAATAGATAAGTTTTGGTTTGAGTCCGTTCAGGCAGCTGTGCCAGAATACCGTTGTAACCTGGGCGGCTTACAAACAACAGAAAGCTTTTCTCAGTTCTGGAGAATGGGAAGACTGAGAGCAAGACGCCAGCAGGGTCGCTGTCCGGTGAGCGCTCACTGTCTTCGGTGCTGCGAGGAGAGAGCTCTCTGGGGTCTCTCTTACCTAAGGGCCCAATTCCATTCACCAGGGCTCTGCCTCATTTCCTCTTCGCCTACCTCCCAAAGGCCCCACCTCCAAATAGCATCATGTTGGGGGTAGACTGCAGCAGCAGAATTTTGGGGACACAAACAGTTCAGTCCATAACAAAGGAATGTAAAAATCTGAGTAAATTAGAGAAGCAAGAGGCTTCTGGTAGTTTAAGATACCAGGGTGTAGGGAGAGAGACCCTGGGAGTTAGTAGGAAGTGTCAGTGACAGGCTTTACCTGTGTGGAAGTATTATTGCAGCTGGTTTGTAAGGGCGGTCTGCATCTTAATCACCAGGGGAGCTAAAATGCAGGTTTCCAGGCCCCACCACCAACCTAGTGGCTCAAAATCTCAAATTGTTTTAGGTCCTAGAGTAAGAACACACTAAATCCTGCCATGAGCCCAGAACCCACCCCCACAGGTGTGCAGTTTGGGCCTTGTTAGAAACTCCCCGTCCTCCTCAGGCTTGTTAACTTTCTAGGTCTTAAATCTGTGTCATTACTAACATTTTTTAGCTAATTATAAATGAACTGTTTTTTCTGAATGGCTGGTTGAGGACCTAATCACTGTCTACGAAACAAAAGGCTCTAAATCTCAAGCGAGCCATTCAGCTTAGTAAGCTGGAACCAGACCTTCATGTGTAAGTCAGACCCCCTGGCTTCTGCATCTGAGGTGACATTGAAATTGTTCCGAGTGGGGTTCACTGCAATGTAGGATGATTGGTTTCATAAGCTGATGTTCATTGGTTTAAAATAATTCAGTGAAAAATAATTTAAGGTATTTTTTTTCTCAATTTTCCCATTTGTTTTAATGTGCTAGATATTTAAAACATTACAGAGAAAAGATGGTATTTTGTAGGAAAAACAGTTTGCTTACAGTATTGTTACCTTTCTGTGTCTGAAGTACACAGAAGTCTCCCCTGATCTGTGGTTTCGCTTTCCATGGTTTCATTTCCCTGTAGTAAAAAATATTAACTGGAAAGTCCCAGAAATAAACAATACGTTATAAATTGCACGCTGTTCTGAGTAGTGTGATGCAGTCCTGCACCGTCCAGCTCCCTCCCGACCCTGCTGTGACTCATCCGTTCACCGCTCTCCGCACTGTGCACGCTCCCACGCCTGCCAGGCTGGTGACTGAGACCCTGTGTGGCTTCGGAGCCAAAAATGTTTCCTGTCAGCCCTTCACAGGGAAAGTTTGCTGACCCTGCCTTAAGGCCTAAGGCTTAAGTCTCTCTCACCTGACTGGTTGAAAAAACTTTTAGTTATGGGGAGAATTATATATACTGTTTGAATTTTTTAATGGTATATTCAGAAAATTTGCTTAATTTTCAATATAATGCCGATGTTTGTTTTTCAGATTATGCCTTCCCGTACATTATATTAGTGCTGTCTTTGGTTACTCTGGCCGTGTACATGTCAGCCTCTGAGATAGAGGTAGGGAAAATGTTTTCTTTGCTAGAGAAATTTTTAATGTATTTGACAATTAATACATATACTATGACATAGTCCAACTGATTGTTTTAGTAATTCTTGGCTATCTGATGTCACTGAGTAGCTTCTAGCTCATTGGTTTTGTTTGTGAAAGGTTGCATACTGGACTGTGTTTGCTTGGGAAATTAGTCAGCCTCAACTATCAAGCACATGTGAGAAAAAAAAAATCATTTAACATAATTTACCCATAGAAAATACTTAATTATGAAATGTTAAAACTTATTAACACCATTTTGAGGGAAACATAAAAATGCTGTATTATATATAGAACTCATTTTACACTTTAGTTTATAATGGCAGCACTGTCATTGGTAACTATGTTGTACATTTTCCACCCTTCTATATTTTGTTCATAATTTTGTTTTCTTGATTATAGATGTTTACTTTTGTCCTCTACTCTCTGTACTATTTTGGTGATTTGGAAATAATAATAATTCTGATACTGTTTCTGTTTTGGGATATCTATTTTGTGCCTCTAGCTCCAGTATTTCAGTGGAAGGTCACTATTAGGACTATTTTGAGGCTAAACTCTAAAGGAATAAAGTGTCAGGTGCCTTAGTACTATTCCACCCTGTGCTTGCTAACCTAGTGCCCACTACACTTGATACGTTATGTGCTTTCTCATAATTCTTAACACAGAAAAGCTCAACCCAAAGAAAGTTGTTGATTATTCTGGAATGCTTGCTGTTGATGCTTCTCCTTCTGTTACATTAGTGAGCAAGTGAGGGAATGACTTTTAGGGAGAATAATGTAGTAGGAGCCAGATGGAATCTTTTGATGGTGATTATTCAAATGTTTCCATTTGTAGACTATCCCCATTTCTCCTTTGTAATATTTAATCAGTATCACAATATGTATAATTAAAGAAGGTAAGCAAATTAGTTTGGGCACTTTTTTCCACTCTAGGGAAATATCTGAAGGTGGGATGATTGAATAATTGAATAAAAGGACGTTTGTGAAGTCCTGTTTATTATCCACAACTACTGTGGATAATAGTTATGTTAGCTTGAAACCTATTTGTTTTTCGGTCACTGGAAATCTCTCCTGTATAAAATGTACACGTACTAAAGTTAGCACACTATGCATAAATCAGAAGTATAGACCTGAATCAGGAAAAGACAGTCTAGCTTTGTGTGAGTTGTTGAGCCGTTTAGTAAGAGAAACTTAGTAATGTAATATTTCAAACTACATTTCAGTATGTTTGTTAGCATATGTAGCTACTACTCTTAGAATGGCTTGGTCCTTCTAGTTCTGCCTGCTGTAGAGCTCTATTCAAGGTGAAAAGGTGATCAGAGTAGTCACATGTCGCTTCTGCTCCCTTCTGATGGCAGCAGACCCCAGGAATGCCAGAGGGTAAGGAATTTGGTGTATGCCCTCCTGTTTCTCACCTGTAGACTCAGCTGCAGGGGATGGGGAGGAGGGCACGTTCTAGTTCACTCTTTCAGAAGAAGCCATGGTGTTTCCAGCGTTGACTGGTGGTGTGAACGAGAAGTCGGGCAGCCAGTGCCCATGTGACTGCAGGAAGCTCTCTCCTCGGTGACAGGCAGTGGCTGGTCAGGCGCTTGCTTAGGTCCCTTTTAGCACAAACTGTGATTCTGAAGTTATGATGTTTAAATAATACATTTAAATTAAAACATAATAAATGATCTGATCCAGCTGATTCAGTCCAACAATCTGTTTCTCTTTTCTTTCTTTAATCAAATTATATAGAACTGCTATGATCTTCTGGTCAGGAAGAAAAGACTCATTGTTCTCTTCAGCCACTGGTTACTTCATGCTTACGGAATAATCTCCATTTCCAGAGTGGATAAACTCGAGCAAGATTTACCCCTTTTGGCGTTGGTGCCCACACCAGCCCTGTTTTACTTGTTCACAGCAAAATTTACTGAACCTTCACGGATACTCTCAGAAGGAGCCAATGGACACTGAATATAACATGCCAAAAACAAACGAAAAAACCTAAGAAGTATTCTTAATAAAAAGTAAAGAAATTAAAAAAATGTATAAGATTGTCAGTATATCTTAATGTTTTTGGTTGTTTGGTTTTTGATTTAAGACTTTATGGTTAGACTTGGAAAATACAAATACTATAATATTTTGTTACATAGTATAATACACTAGATGCCAGAAACCTGTTGGGAAGCACTTATCTCTTGCAACAATTTATTCTTTAGAGCAAAATCATGTTTCTGTGTACCTGGCCATATGTTATTTCCGTTTTTATTAAGAAAAACTTGAACAAGTATCATCTGAAGTCCTCAGCTTTGGCACAATTGTGCATGCCTGTTGTGTTTCAACTTGTTTTTCTAGTATAATGAATTATAAAGACACACGTACCTGTGGGGTCTCATAACAAACATGGAAAGAAGGTATGTTGTTTTTTGTTATCTGTTTATTTTCACCAATACAGTATTTTGATCCCTTACAAAAATAGAGCATAATTTATATAACAGGTTTTCTCTTTACAGGTAGTTTGGTTGAACATATCCTCAGATTATTCCTGCTCCTGTAAAGAAAAACAATAATGAAAAGCTTAATGACAAAAAGTCTCAAATGTTCTGACATTTGTGTTTGCCACACTAATTATGGAAATTAAAAATATTAGGTAGTGAGGTTAATGTCTGTTTCCCAAGTGAGTAAGTACATGTGCTCACATATTCCCTTCCTCTTACATCTCATTTTTTAAAAATTGATTTTAGAGGAAGGGAGAGAGAGAGAGAGAAATATCAGTTGCCTCCTCTACATGCCCTGACTTGGGATCGAACCCGTAACCTAGGTATGTGCCCCAACCTGGGATTGAACCTGTAACCTTTTGATGTACGGGACACTGCTCCAACGAACTGAGCCACCTGGCCAGGGCCCATATCTCATTTTTTAAGGATATATACACATTTCACATTTTTTGATCCTGAGACACATTTTTTCCCACATTGTGACATCTCTGAATTAGGCTGCATGTTACAATTGGTGGCTTCTTAGATTTAAAGAATACAGAATATAAACAGCATAGGAACAGTTTTCCTGTGGTGGTTGTTGATAGGTGTGCTGCTTGTTGATTATGCTCTGAACACTTTGATAAACTTATGGTTGCAACCATGGGAGCAAAATAAGATTCTTGACCCTTCACCTGATAATCTGACCACGTTTGTTCTTTCGCATTGTTTAGAGGTAATTTCCGATTCTGCTATTGGGGGGGGTTACACAGGTTTGTTAAATCTCAAACTTGGAGACTCATTGGCAGTTGCATATTGTGAAAGTGTATGCACTCACTTTTTCTGTAGTGTTCACAGAAGTTGTATCCTTGAAATTATTTTAATTTTTTTTTGTTCATGTTTTCCACAGTACATGGAACAACTGGGAAATTGTCTTTTTTGATACGTCTGGGTTTTTTCTTTTCTGTAGGAAGAAAAATAAAATTGTAAAAATTCTATATGTGTATAAGACAGTTTTGGGTGGTTATTAGTGTCCATTAAAAGTCTAAGTTGCCCAAAGAATCCCTCAACTGGAGAACTGGACAGTTGGAAAGGGGGAGGCCTGGGGGGCACGTCTCCGATTACCAGGACTGTTTTTGTCCCACATTTGGAGCCATTTTAAGTTTTCTAGCAGAAAAATGTATGTGCAAAAGGAGAAATCGTGCAAGTAATTATGAATACAGGTCCTCAAATGCAAAGAAGTTATGCATTTTTAATTTGTGTTCTGAAGAACAAGACTAGAACAATTCCCAGCAACTATAGTTGCTAATGTTATTAAATAACTTGTTAAAATGTGGTTATTACAAATATACAAAACTACCACTGTCCTACCTCAACTTTGTCTTGACTTAGGTCCTTGCAGTGTATGCTATAACTCATCGCTATAGTAATTATTGTGCTAACCAGTGCCGGGTAGGTCATATAAAAAGTCAAAATATTGTCTTGAATTATTTGGGTCAATTGATCAATTTAACAGTTACATTATTACATATTTGTTTAACACCATCAGTTAGCAAGACTTGACTGCACACTGGAGTCAGCTAGAGAGATTTCTAAAAACATGCCCGGGTCCTACCTCTTGAGATTCATGGTGAATTGGTCTAGGGTGTAGGCTGAACAGAAAGATTTTAAAAACCTCCAAGTGTTTCTAATTTTGAGAATTATTGTCTAAACTCTTCCTAGTTCAGGTCTTAATTTTTCCAAGAGACTTTTCACAATTTCTGGGCAAATTATTTTTAAATTGTTATTTCTTACTGAAATTTTGCTTCTGCTTGATTATAATTGTGTTCTTTTCCATTATAAAATTATAAAAATACAGATAACTGTATCAAGTCTTTTTCATCACAATAAAAAGATAACTAACACAGTTATATGAATTTCTGATCTTTTAAAATACCTTTTGGGCTAAAAAAGTCTCTGTAGACCAGACATCCAGTTAAGATATTTGGTTAGCACACAAATTGTTTATCTGCAACCTAAGTTATAGTATAAGGTGTATAGTATAATTCAAGGACTTTTGGAATTTTAAAACAAAATTATTTTTATTATTATTTTTTAAAATCTCTACTCAGTTACTATTTGGTTTAGGTATACACTAAGAATTATCCTATTTACCTTTTGTTTACAAGAAAGAATATTGAGGCAAAAAGTAACAGTCTTAGTTTCCAGGATGAAGCCTGGCACCACGTCTGACAAGCCGATCCCCTATACTCTTGCCACTTGGAGCCCAGCAGACCTCCACTCGGCCATGCTGTTGCAGTTTGAGCCAGGCCATGTGGGCTGCTCCTTTGGGAAGACATCCTTGTATATTCCCAACACCCAAGAAGACTGAGATGTCCCTCTTTATTCTCCCCCACAACCACATTAGAAGGAGTCCACTGGCTTCTAATCATCCCTTGTGTCATTCTCACAGTATGTGCACTTTGAGGTTCAGAGACTGGGTGTCATTCAACTTGCAGGACAGCATTTGCTCTAGTGCCAGACTCAGAGGTGCTCAATATGCTGAGAAAGCTGGCGCAGTGTTTCTATAGGGAGGGGTAGGACCGCGGGGCTGCAGTGACAGTGTGTGTCCAGAAGAGGGCGGGGGAAGAGCTGTTGAGCTGGAAGAGATCAAGGGCTTCTCTAGAAGTCCGTCTGTGAGAGAAGCCTTTCAACAGGAACCTTCAAAAGGTAGATGACAGGTGGCTCAGATGACAGGTGGCTTGGTCCAGTAACTCAAGGGGCTAAAGGAATCCGATGCTTGCCTAATAAAGGTCAAATGCTTTATTACGGCTGTTATCATTTATATTTTACAACCAGAGAAACTGAAGAGCAGAGGTTAAATAACACGTAAGAAGTAACGCTGAGATTGGAGCCCACGTGGTACCAGTGTCCAGGAATGGAAATAAATAGAGTTAAGGGGCAGAAATCTTCCTTCAGATCTCAGCTCCATTTCCAGTTCTTCGGAGACCTCTTCTGATTCCTTAACCAGGTCAAGTCTCCCTCTCAGGTTCTTAAATTCGTATGCCCCACCTTCAGTACACTTATGACGCTGAAGTGTTTTGTACTTTTATATCCTACCTGATTCTCCCTCTGTAGCAGGGTGGACAGACTACACCCGCGGGGCAGTTCTGCTACCACGGCAGAGGTGAAGGGTTGCTGTGGGGACCTTTTATGGCTGGCAAAGCCAAAAATATTGTGTGGCCCTTTAAAGTTTGCCCACCTCTGTACCTGACTGATTTCCATTTGGTGGGACTAGATTTGTTTTCATTCACTATTGTAACCCTGCAGCCTAATAAAACACTTGGCACAGAATAGGCATTCAGTAAATACTCGTTGAATACTCTGGAGTTCACGGTGAAACACGGATGGACCCTAAAAGCCGGACCAACCAGAGCAAGGCCAATATGCTCTCTGATGGGTCACACCGAATGCTCTGCTTCAGGGGAGCCTGCCACCAGCGTCCCCAGGCCGACAGCCCCCAGCGGCGCACTGCGACGCGTCCCTTCCTCACAGTGAGCCTTCCCACTGCCTCTGAACCTGCCCAGTGCAAGTGCGGCGACCGCCCGCCTTGCTGTCCCAGCTCGGGCCTGCTTGCTCAGGGCGGCCTTCCTTAATTCCCGCGCTGCAGGTCTCCGTTTCCCATGGGTTATCACGAAGAGGGCCCTCAAAATATGTGAAAAGGGGAGACTGATATCAGTTATTCAGTGGGCTCAGCTTTCCAACGTAGTCTACTTAAATCTGCTCCAACACAGATTCTGCCAGGCTCAGACAAACGTGGACGGTGAGCTCACGTGAAAACAGTGCAGTTGACAGGTGATTTGAAATCCCACTTGCTGTGTGGCTGGCGACCACCTGGCCTTGCGGAAAAGACAGGCGAAGCCAGGCCACCAGGGGTGACGCCCTGCACCCAAGCAGTACGCCAGGCTCCGCAGGAACGCCGAAGCAGCCTTTTGGCTGACAAGAAGGGGCTTAATCACAAAATTTTTCATTGGCTGTGAAAACATAATTTCTTCTGTCAGCAGTACTCTCAGAACATTGGTTCCTATCAAATACTGAAATATGTTTTAATTCTATCACTTTTTCTCATTCTACTTTTATTATATTTCATTTTACTTTCTTTTTTGTTCTTCTTCTTTATATGAATTTTTATTTATTTTTTTGTTACAGATATTTTACCTTTTTACCCCATTGGCACCCCCCACCCCACCCCCCCTCCCCCCTGTCCCCGGCTTAGTTGTCCATGTCCATTGGTCATGCATACATGCATATAAGTTCTGTGGTTTATCTCTTCCCACCCCCCCACCCCCCATCCCCTCTTCTGAGGGATGTCAGTCTGTGCCCTACTTCCATGTGTCTGGGTCTACTGTATTCCTCAGACTGTTATGTTCATTATATTCCGTATATAAGTGAGATCATGTGGTATTTGTCTTTTTCTGCTTGGCTTCTTTCACTTAGGATAATACTTTCCAGGTCCCTCCATGTCGTCTCAAAGGATAAGAGATCTTTCTTTCTTACCGCTGCATAGTACTCCATTGTGTATATGTACCACAGCTTTTTGATCCATTCGTCTACTGGTGGACACTTGGGCTGTTTCCAGATCTTAGCTATTGTAAATAGTGTTGCTATGAACATGGGGGTACATATATTCTTCCTGATTGGTGTTTCAGGCTTCTTAGGGTATATTCCCAGCAGTGGGATCACTGGGTCGAATGGAAGTTCAATTTTTAATTTTTTGAGGTAGCACCATATTGTTTTCCATAGCGGCTGCACCAGTCTGCATTCCCACCAGCAGTGTATTAGAGTCCCCTTTTCTCCACACCCTCGCCAACACTTGTTGTTTGATGATTTGTTGATGGCGGCCATTCTGACAGGTGTGAGGTGATACCTCATTGTTGTTTTAATTTGCATCTCTCTGATGATTAGTGATGTTGAGCATTTCTTCATATGTCTCTTGGCCATTTGTATGTCCTGTTTGGAGAGGTGTCTATTCAGCTCCTCTGCCCATTTTTTAATTGGGTTCTTTGTCTTCCTTTTGTGGAGTTGTATGAGCACTCTGTATATACTGGAAATTAACCCCTTATCTGATACATCGTTGGCAATGATGTTCTCCCATACAGTGGGTTGCCTTTCCATTTTGATGATTGTTTCTTTTGCTGTGCAGAAGCTTTTTAGTTTGATGTAGTCCCATGTGTTCATTTTCTCCTTTATTTCTGTTGCCTTAGGTGATGTATCAGTGAAAATTCTGCTCCGTATGATGTCCAAA